TATCATATATATATTACGAATATTGTGATAGGTGCTTTTCTTTCTTGTAATTTGTATTTTAACCTTAAAAAGTGACTATATTTCAATGAATTCATTTTTTTAAATACAGGATGATACAAAAAGGATGAACCGATTTTATGACCCTTTGTTTCAGTTCTCAAGCACCGATATGGAATGGGTCAGATACCATATCAAAGAGGAGTTATCTAACTTTTCAGTCAGAAGGAATGAGCCGATTTTATGACACATTGCTTCAGTTGCCAAGCATCATTTGAATGACTATTTGAAAGAGGAGTTATCTAAACTTTAAACAGCTGCCATAGGGGGGTGCTTTTTCGCGTCGTTTTTCCTTTGAAGGAAATACCCTTACAGAATAAACCTATCTGAATATGCCCCAAAACTGGCTCTTCATATCACTGCAAGCAGATTCACATGACTTCATTTTTCGACAAGTTGGAGCACTGCCCCATTGACATCTGGTCTTTCGAGGTTTTGTAAATCAAAAAGTGCCCCGGCGATGGATTGGTCGGAAATGGGACCAGAACATCACTGACCTCAGTGTATGTGATTTTTTCTTTTAATGATCTGTAAAAAAATCGCGTTTATATGCCATCGGTGCCAACTAACGTTGATGACCTTGAACATCAAATAACAACAGCGATCAACTCAGTGGGCCTTAATATGCTGAAAAGCGTCTGCGATGAATTCTTTTATCTCACTGATGTTGTCCGTGCTGGTGGTAGTGACTACTTTGAACACTTATTGTAAGACAGAAAATAAAAGCTGGTGGTGCGAACAATATACCTGTGACCTAGTTATAGTTTTTTTTATTGCTTTTCCTTTTTTAAAATATTGCGTAATGAAATTAGGTCACTCTTTTTTATCACCCGCGTTTTGGGTATCGAAACAAGTTCAAAGACCGTTTTGCAACTAACGGTGAATTTGAAGAAAAAAATCGTTTGGAAAATAATATGCCAGCCGACGATGAACACAGAGTTGGTCACAATATTGTAAAAACAGATACTCTGTTGCAACACTATAGATTTTACCATGACTTCTTTTTTCACAACTAAATTCGAAATACTGTCCACAGGCTGCTGTTGGAGAATCCACAATGCAGATGCGACTGTTTGCACTCGTTTCACTGATGGCTGTCTCCTCACTGGCCATGGACGACATTGCGCCATACTGGTGCAGCCCCGTTTGCCAAGATTTTATTGCTCTGAGGAACCAATGTGAAGATTCCAGAAATTGCTTTGAAGGAGGCTATAACGAGAATACATACTCCTGTCTCGAAGTGAGAAAGACTTTAACTAATTTGATTACTTATATAAGTTTGTCAGCTTTATAAACATACTAAACAGCTGTTGCATGAATACAGTTTAAATCCTAAGAATATTGCAATTTTCCCTTTCAAATCAACGAATTTGGTTGCACCAGAAGGTGGGAAAGTATATGAAATAAGGCCAGTCTAGTCGTCATCATTTATTAGATCAGGATGAATCAGATGGGAAGTGCATCGATGTGTACGGACTTTTAGCAGAGAAGAATACAGTTTTATGGCACATATATTCGTTGTGATAAGCTTCCTGTATAACTGACACGTGAACTGTTTGAAGACATGATTGCCACAATACACCCCGGCAAAAGTAGATAAGAGCGTGTTTCACATTTATGGGAGCAATACATGAATCGACATTGAATGGGATTGTTGGGTTCTTTTTGTTTTTTAGTTTTTTTTAAGTATTTGGGTTGTTGAGGGTTTTTTTGGGTGTTGTTGTTGGGGGGGGGGGGTGTAGTTAACATAAGTAGCCTATATTTGTACTTAATGTCTATTCTGATTCCCTTTCCAACAGCCTTGCTGGGAAATTGCTGCTCCCTGCCTTCAAGCATGCAGGGACAACATCTACATTTTGCTAAGAACCTGTGATGCTCGTTGTTCAACCTATGGGGAGTGTATGGAAGATTGTTTCGCTGAAGAGTTCCAAGCCTACAAACCAGAACTTCCCTGAAATGAGACAGTTTTCTGAGTTCTTCTCCGAAGGCTTCCTCGCCATTAAATTTTGAATACGAAATGTTTTTTTGAGTGTTGTTTATTTAACAGCAGTCAAAGCTATTGCGACCGTCTCAGTGTGTATTGCCATTTGTACTGTCCTTCGTGTTCTCTTAGCGGCTGGATCGATAACAACAACAGCAGGCTGGATCGTTGTCGTGTCAGATGATGCTATTGTAAGTGCCATTTACGTTGTTGCTGCTAGCTTTGTTACTGTGGGGTGCATTTTGTTTTAGCTTCGTGAAGACGTGTTCTTCTAAACTTCTTTTGCGTACTTTTATTGTGTTTCTGGAATTCTTGTGTAAAAATGTTTCCAATATTGTCTGCCTATTCTGTATCCTCTTGAGCTGCCTTGGACATAAACCCATCCCCAGTCTCCTTGTATAAGTACCATAGATCTTAGCATCTAAAGAACAGTTAGAGATAAATCGATGGAGAGCAATATATAATACCCAACCAACACACAGGCATTCAAAGTTGTCCAATGGGGGCTCTTGTGGCCAAGAGATTAAGGTGTTCGCCTCTCATTCAATAGGTCTCGGTTTCGAATCCGGATATCGACGGACATTTATTTTCGTCTCTAAATTGTCTCTGTTCGCCTCCTTTCCTGCTCTCAAGCAACGTTCTGTCGTCTGCTTTCGTCTCCACTTTCTGTCCCCAACCCCTCACCTCCTTTGCTCCCTCCTCTGGGCTCCCGACTCTTCCCTCAGCCTTTCTATTACTACTCCTTAACTCCTTCTTATTGCTGTCTTTAAGCCACACCCCTGATCTTACGGTAGGAAATATCTACACCTAGCCTTCTCGGACAAGGGCAAACATTCTCGGAGGTCCTGTGTGCAAGTTGCGCACGTTAAAGATCCCTTGGTGGTCCAAAATCGTTAAGAGTAGGCTTCGGCCACCACCCGGGCAAAATTCAAAATTTCCTACCAAATGAAAATGGTGCAAGCGCCGTAAAACACTTACCAAAAACAAAAACAAAAACGAAAACAAACGACGTTCAATTAGGGTTTTCAACCCGGGCATTCTATATCATGGTCCAACTAAATGCCAACTGGTCTAACGGTACTACCAGAACTGCTCTAGACTGGTACTTATGCAAAAATAAAAATTTGAATTACCATGTCACCAACACAGTTACCATTTCTATACCATCACTACCACCAACAACAAAAGTGACCCCCCAAAAGACATACAAACAAACAAACAAACAAACAAATGAACAAAAAACAAAATATGTTTGTAACCGTCACAGCACTGCTTTGATTAGCCAAAAGGTAGCAGTGAAAGAAAAAAAAGAGTAGAATGCTGTAAAACAAAACAAAAAAAGAAGAAATATACATCATCAAGTACAATCTAAAATAATAACCCTCAATGAATGTCAGACCTGTTATTTCGGACTTTGCTTGCAAAAAGGCAAAGTGCACCAGCTGAACAGGTGGCGTCGGTGGCCTTGTGGTTAGGCTACCAGACTCGCAATCATGAGATTGCGGGTTCGGGGGTTCGAGCCTCAGCTCGGTCCGATGTTGAGACCTTGGGAAAGTCACCTTACACGAATTTTCCACTTGGCTCGGTCCATTCGAAGATGGACGTTAAACTCAAAGGTCCCGCCTCTTAAATAACCTTACAGTGTTGATAGGGGTGTTGTACCCATACCATTATCAGCTTAACGGTAAAGACAAATCCAAATGATTATATGATATTCATATAAATACACGAGTTGAAATAACACCTCTGAGTTTGATAAAGTCACACATTGTTCCCATGCCATGAGCGTTTAAGTGTTTATAATATAAGCCGAGGTGGATGCTAAGGGCTCTTCAGTGACGATATGAGAAAAGTTTGTTCTAATACGAGTGTTCACGCCCACACTATGCCACAGTGTGATATTTAACTTTACCTGCTCCTTTAATATCGCCATGCCCGATTCATCAGTTCATGTTAACATCTTTCCTGTAAATCAATCAAACACTAACGGAAAATCAGATTCATTAGCGGTGGTAATGGTGCAGTGGTTCGCGCCAAGCTTTCGTACTCCGGAGTTCAATTCCTGAGAGGGGAGAAATTGTGTATCCTTCCCATCCCGGGGTGGCCCTGACACACAGGTTCGGAAGTCTGCCTCTTGAATTAATTGAATGGTGTCGATACGCCATTAAAAATACCTACATTTAAAAAAAAATCAGATTGTTTCCTTTTATATCTTGCCAACGAGATTTTCAACTCAATGTTTTTAAAATTAATTAATTAATTAATTAATTAATTAATACATTTATTTATTTACTTATTTAGTGGGGGGTGGTATTAATGTAAACAAACACATCAAAAATAGAGATCACGAACTTTGGTCGAAATCATAGTCTCCTAAACATTCACATAAATAAGAAGCATCTAAAAGAGGTCAAGAAGTTTAAATATCATGTCAGTATTTTCACTCACAACCTCACAACGGGTTCATAGATATTGAAATAGAAATACGACCTTAAAAAGCCAACACCTATCACATTGAACCCATTCAAAACATCTCATCGGACGCAAAGAGACGTCTTATCACTTCAACATTTATGCCAAAGTTATGCTACCAGTGCCATACCTGGACATTAAACTAAAACCCATGAAAACAAATTCACTGCGTGCGAGATCAAATGTCCCCGAAAAACTGTAAACATCGCAAGTTGAGGAGACGGGTTGAGAAATATAGATGTAAGAGCAACCGCTGGCACGGAGTCCCGCCTGCATTTCAAAGTTAAACAGGGAATAAAACAGTTTTTTAATAGTCAGTTACTAATGTCCGTAGTCGACCAATCTCGAGAGCCTATAGCACCAAGTATTCAGACTACAAAGAAAGAGGTAAGCCACGCAAAAAATGGACGGGGAAAAGTCAGGGAACCCTGAGAAACTAGAGTAAACCTCAATAAACTGCATCTCCATTTGACGCTCAGGGGCAATAAAGGATGAAACAGACATCATCATCATCATCATCATCATCATCATCATCATCATCATCATCATCATCATCATCATCATCTTCATCTTTGCTAATATCATTGTCATTTGAGATAGTGTCAAGTCGTTACTGATATCATTATAGTTATTAGTGTGTTTGTTTCATCGACATTGAGGATATCGTATACAATCGGCAATAATGTTACTGTTACTGTCAACATTTTCCCCGCTAAATTACTTGATAAAAGGCGGATTGTTGGATTGTGTCATACATAGGCCCAAATTCCTTTTTCCATACGTTGTTTCTGGTGTGTGTAACCTCATAATGAACGGCTATAGGAAGATTCTATCAACAACAGGATGGTCAGATGACGGCTTATTTATTGTCAGATGATAACGTTATGATATTTCCTAAGCACAGGGGTGCTTTGTAATAAATGTCAAGGCAATTCCAACCAATTTTATCAGTCCTTTTCTGCTGAGCACAAATAATAAGCAATGGTGACAATAAGTATGATTATCATGCTCGCATCGCACATGTGGCTGATGCTGAGATAGATACTCCTCAACGCCGTGAAAGGACTAGCCCTAAAATGTGTTCTGGTACGTACATCCTTAAGGCATAGTTATGCTATGTAAACAGACTATTTTCGTAAGATGCCAGGCAAGTTTTGTAAGTGATACAGAAATGTTATTGCACAGGTTGTATGACTGTGATTTCATAATATAATATGAGTGTTTGAAAGAAATATTTCTTCTTCTTCTCCTCCTCCTCCTCCTCCTCCTCCTCCTCCTCCTCCTCCTCCTCCTCCTCCTCCTCCTCCTCCTCCTCCTTCGTCTTCTTCTTCTTCTTCTTCTTATTATTATTATTATTATTATTATTATTATTATTATTATTATTATTATTATTATTACTTTTACTATTACTATTTTTATTATTATTATCATTATCATTATCATTATTATTAGTAGTATTATGTTATAATTATCAATATTTTTATTATCATCATAATTATAACCGCTATGATTATCAGTATCATTTGATTATGGAGAAAAGGGGCACAGAAAAGAGTTGCCAGCAGAGATAAGTGTAGCACGCGACGAGTGCACTTTGTTATGGAGAGGAAACAGAAATAAATGAAGGCAGCACGAGAGACGGGAAAGAGGGCAACTGGCTTAACTGAGCCATTCATCTCTATTCCCTGGACACTTCACACAAAAAGCCCCCCAAAGTCGTTTGCAAGATAATACTTTTTGTCATATCAATGCCAGGCTAATACCTTCCTTATCTCTGCATCCATTACCCGTCGTCCCCAGCGTCCACGATGCTAAAACTAGTATTCGTTTTGGTCGTGGCTTTAGTCAGTGTCAAGGTCAGTGCGGACCCCTCTATAGTGCTCTGTATGGACCTGTGCGAGGACTTTCACGCCCTTCGCCGTGAGTGTCAGAGGGAGAAAAACTGCTTCTACACCGCCAGCTATCCCCACGTCTATCGGAGAAGCTGTCTGGATGTGAGTTGGGATTTCCGCACGTCTTGTTTTATACAAAGAGGTCAATCTATGTGAAGACCCAAGGTCATCGAGTATTTTCGAAAATAATGCTATACAAAGCTGTTTCAGAAACGTGATCACAGCTCCACGATTTCACACTGTTTGTCTTACGAACAATTATAAAATGACTATATTGTTCTTTAACTCGGGGGGGGGGGCGGTGTTGTTGGGTTTGTTTTGTTTTGTTTTTTGGGGGGTGAGCGTTTTGGGTACATGTACATATGAAACAAGAATATGTGTATAAAACATTTAATTTTTATGTTCCTGTTTTCCGTTCAGTATTACATTTTTCTACCTATCATATTTTGTTAAAATTTTGTCTTATTCTATTCTTGTGTTGGGTTGTAACTGGGGCTAGCCCTCAATTGGCCCCTTTTTTATAGCTGCTATACTCATCAAGGGGGGGCTCTTGTGGTCTAGAGGTTACGGTGTTCACCTCTCATCCAATAGGTCTCGGGTTCGAAACCTGATAGCTATAGGGCAAATTTCTTCTGTAAATAAATAATATTTCACCTCCTGTCTTGCTCGCTAACCATGTTCTGTCCCCACCCCCCACCCCCCTTTTTTGCCACCTCCTCTGGCCTTTTAACTCATTCTGCAGCCTTTCAACTGCTACTCCTAGGCTCCTCCTTACTGCTGTCTTTCAGCCACACCTCCAATCTTAGGGTTGGATAGAGACAAAAATGTTTCGGATGTCGCGTGTGCAATTTATGCACGTTAAAGATCCCTTGGTTGTCCTAAAATCAATAAGAGTGTGCTTAATTCCTACCAAACTGAAAATGCTTGATTACCAAAACTAAACACATGATCATCAAATCCGGTTTCTCCAATATCTTCCCGTTTTGCCTTTTTTCAATTTTTTCTTCATACTTTGCTTCGCTCTAGTCAGGCCTACGTCTGTCTCTCTATACTTGACAAGCTTCCAAAAGTTTACCATTATGCAGTGAAATACTCATTTCAGAAGCGAGAAAACTCTTTTGCTGAAAAGGTACCAACGCCATGATAGTGTGTTAGATACTATTTTAAAAAAAATTAATACTTCCTTATTAATTGTATGTATTATTATTCCTATTATAATTTTATATATGTATTTGTGGTTTTTATCTGTCATTTATTTTTCATAAATATTTATATTTATATATACACATATATGGGGGGGGGGTGTCCTATGTCATAGTTTTTTCTTCCATCTGACTAACCGAACAAACTGTCCTCTTCAGCACTGAATGACTACATTGTATTACCACATAGAGGCAGTGAACAAAGCTTTCTGTAGGGAGCGTACCATCTCGTAGAGTACAATTGACGCTGGTATTTATGGGTTCTACTACCTGCATGTAGATTTTCCCTTTTCTGCTTTCGCCGAAGTATGCCCCCCACCTTCTTTCTTCCTTATACAGATTTTTATGTGAAATTTATTTTAAAACTAACGATAGCTCGTTTCTTCAATACACCGTAGGAATGTTGGGACCTGACATCACCTTGTGAGCTGTCATGCAAACGACACCTCGGTAGGATACGTCCCATCTGCTCCAGCAAGTGTCACGACTACAGCTGTCTACAGGACTGCCTCAGGAAAGAGTTCTCTCCGTTGAAACCCCAGTTGCCGGAAATGTTCTAATTACACTTGACATGGCTGTTTACATTGCCTCGATGTTCCTACAACACTTCCCGTGACCCAAGCAATCGATGTATGGCTATACATGTATTGCAGTGCGCACTCTAAGTAGGAAGAACTAAAAGGTGTTATGTTCCTTTAGAACATGTTGCTTTGATGAAAGGAAGGCAAATAGTATGTGTTAGAATCTCGTTCCGGATCCTCAGAAAATTCAAAGAAGTTGGGACGATGAACTACCCAGTCCCAGAACCCTCGTGAACTTCGAAAAAGGGACTCTTACTCTTTATTAAATTATACTCCACAGAACTAGTTCGTTCATAGGGATTGCAATCTCTTTCTCATTGTGTCAGCTGAACATTTTAGAAGAGGAGAATAAGTATTTTGTATAAACTCGGCGAAAACCGTGAACGTTAGGCCAGAAAAGCGTTATTGGTTTTGTTTACCTCTAACTTTAACAGATGAGTTGTATGTTGACAATTAACGAAGAGGATCGAAACGTAAGAGGCGGCAATATTTAAGTCGAAAAAGGGGGAACGTCAAATTTCAGGAAACAAGTCATTGCCGTCAATTTGATAGAAATTCTGAGTAAAAGATGATCCTTACTTACTATCAATAAGAAAATATAACTGGTGGCGTCTTATTATTTATGCCCCGTGTTTCGTTTGGGTTTTCCCCAACAGAGTTTAATTGAAAAGAGGGGGGTGGGGGGGGGATTTAATTCCTTGTGTTTGTAAAATGGAAATCGTAACGGTGGCGTTTATAATGGAATGAGTAAATCAGTTGACCAATAGCAACAAACACTGAACTGGTTACGTTCATTAGCAATTCCTGAATAATATAAAATGGAGATGTGAGGAATTAGGAGGCCTCCAATTCAGAAAGCCAGTTTTTTGTTTCTTACTTAAAAGCTCAATATAATTTTATTCTGCTCAGTCAATCTTAAATAAATGTGTTTTCAAAGTGCCATTTTCTGTAACGCTTTGTTCATTGTGTTCAGCTTCGACATTGGTTCTCGGTAGTAATATGCACCTTGGACTCAAGTCAGTTGTTCAAGAACGCTTCACAATTGCCTTGTTTTACAGTTATTAAACCTTCCATTTTCTGACCTCTGAAAATTTGGTTTCATCTAATTCTAAACGACTCAAAGAAATCGGATTCATAGCATATGACAATGTGACGGTGACATTTCCACTTTTATATTATTTTTTAAATTGCATTTTTTAAAGTTTGCATGGCTTTTAATAACAATGTATGTCGCTTTGAAATGATATTCCGTTGAACTTTTCCTTATCCCTGACATGTTCATTCTTACTGTGAAATCAAGCTCTGAAAGTTGCTCTGTACGTAGTTGGTATCCTTTTATTTGTTGTGAATACAAACAAACACACACATACGCACACACACACGCACACACACACACACACACACACACACACACACACACATATGTACACACGATAGCTGTACCAAAAGACCAGTCTACCACAAAAAGTTATACGGTTGTCAGAAAATCTGCACCATAATTGCGCTGAAGGTGAAATGACCATGCTCATTACATAATACACTATGATTTTGATTTTATTTTCAACGCTAACCAGAGAGTGGATTGAGTGAAAAGGGAAATGCCTTCACTGGGAAATTCTGTAATACAACCGGGTCCATAATGGCAGCTGAAGCTTCGTTTTTTTAACTTTAGGATTTACTGACGGTCCAGAAAGGGTTAGAAAAAAAGTCAATAGCCTGTTGAGTAGACACATTTGCCAGCTATTGTTCGCTTGATAACGACCATAAAAATTCTACCTTGAGGCACACTCGTTTTTGTTCGCACTCTCAGTGCCCGCACAGAAGAGAATGTGGTGCAAGTTTCACCAAAACATGATTCAGGACCAGAAGCATACCTCATTCAGACACACCAGTACATACTGTCAACGCCAAACACCCAGGAGAGACTGAGAATGTGCAGGTGAATTTTAAATAAGAACGGGGAAGATTATTGCATCCTTTATTAAGAACGTTTAGTTCAGTAATGAAACTATTTTTTTCTTAATGGGCATGTTACTTTTTAAGCTGCATGATTTTGGGTTCATCAAGGCGTAATAAAGTTGTGCCCGAATGGTCTCCATACACTGAAAACCACGACATAATGTCAATGAGTCATTAATTGCTCTATCTGGATTTATTGATGAGGGTGAGGTCACTTGCACTGCTGGTAAATGCCTAAAATTGCTTTCCAAATTCTAGAAATTGTTGGACGCTTCTGTGACACTGACATACAATATCAATGGTTCTGGTAGGATGGTGGCACGCGTCATACACCGATGGGGGTTCTTCGGTGGGTTGAAGATCGTTTTGTTGAGAAATCAGCAGTCGCAGCTCGGCTCACATTTGGGTACCTCCACAGCCTAGACCTCAGCCAGCTAGATTTTTCGTCTATAAGGATAACCGACGGACAAAGTTTACTTTTAGAATCTCCGCGGTCTTAGGGTTATTGCGTCAAACCATGCCTAACGAATTCATGTCGACCAAAGACAAAGAGTGATCAAAGACTTTGTCTGTCTCGTAGAAGAATGCTTTTCATGTCTCAAACAATGCACTGAATACGCGATTTACGACGCACCAGCTTAAAATTGCATGACGTTACATGCTTCAAATGTTGATTTTCTTCGATGCACCTGAATCTGCTATATGTGTGCAAATTTATCTGATTGTGTATTCATGGAGTTTTTTATTGTCGATCGTTTGGCAGACATTTTGATTGTTTTTGGAACATACAGACATACATTACATGCACTTGTTAGTGAAAACACACTCAGACACACACATACACACACACAATCACACACACACATTGACACACACACACACACACACATGCACGCACATACACATATATACACACACGTGCACGCACGCACACACATTTTATATACGTAAAATATAATATATACATGCATGTACAACCGCTAATTTCTTTTTATGTGCTAATGATGCTGTTTTCAATATCCTGGATTACACACTCATTTTTATACTTATTATTTTTATAGAATTTTTTTTTACTGATTAATTAAACTGATAGATGAGTTTATTGATTGAGGAATGAATTTATGGATAAATTAGTGGATGGGCGGCTGGCTGGCTGGATGGATGGATGGATGAATGGATGGATGGATGGATGGATTGATGGATGGATGGATGGATGGATGGATGGATGGATGGATGGATGGATGGATGGATGGACGGATGGATGGATGGATGGATGGATGGAACAAGGGTCCCCATTGAGTATAGAGTTGCCCTCTTCTGTGTCAGACAGAAAGATTAGTTCCAATAATTCTGGGCAAGCCAAAGGATCTTAACCCTATCAGGGATTTGAATAAGAATTCACATAGCAAAAAAACGAGTGTCTTATTGGGCAAATTGCCCACCCACCTGTTTTCAAAAACCTATGCAGGGTTTTATTTTATACCCAAAAATGTAAAATATTTTTTATGCTTCTTTTTAAAAAAAACAACTGAATAAACGTCAAACTGAAAACAGAAATTAAAGTGCATAGTTTTGTTTTGTTTTGCAAGAAAAAAGGTCTCGATAATATCTTCGTTTGTTGTAACTTGTTTGTTGTTTGTCACTAGTTTTCTTTTTGTTTAAAGATGTGGGAGATGGTGGTGTCCAATTATGACTGCTGTCCCTATTGTCGTTTCATTTGTGTCTAGATACAGAATAAGTAAATTGGAATTGGAATCCCATGGTCCCCTACACTAATTGCCATGAGAGGTCTTATTATACATTGCCAAAAGAGAATTTTTTAAAATTCTACTTTGTTCGATCTTCAAACTTCCTCCCGTGAGTCATTACCTGTAATACCGGGACGTGTCATCTCTGACTCAGAGATTGACGTGTAATGATGCTCTCCTTCACGGTCGCGAGATGCCGTTGCATATTCTGCTATATCCAGGCCAGTCCATATTTTAATGTTTGTACAAGTACATTTATGTTACTCTTTGTCTTCCTTGTGAGTGAGTCATTATCGCGTTGGTTACAAATTGCGTCAAATAACCAGAGAATGAATGACTGGGAAACGCGTCTTGCTCATACTGAGAGGTTTTGGTGAGTCAACCCAGAAGTCTCTCTCACACTCTCCCTATTCATAACTGTCGATTTTACTCTAGGGTTTTTAGATACATTTTTAATCAGTTAAATGCGTGTCGGGTCCCCTCATGCCTACTAATTAGCAATTTATCATTCATTATTCGAACGAGTTTCTGGGTGGTCCTTTGACAGCAATTAATAAATTTTCCTCAGCACCTCTGATCCGCTGAACCATTATGTTTGATTACGCCCAACATCCAAATGTATGAGCATATATGTGTTTGTATGAGCGCACATGCTATTATGTCCACTTTCGCGTACACTTGCCTTTGTGACTTTGGTTAAAATTCTTTGTGGTCTACCATAAATATGTCATTCCTGTCAGTTATATTTGTCCTCTTCTTTTTCCATTGCACTACGGACACAAATGTCTTAATTTTACCTTTCTTTTTATTTACTTATAAATTAGCTACCTTGTGGTATGTCATGAGTCTTGATACCCGATATCAACATTGGATGGTCATCTATATGGCAAAGTATATCAGACTTTAACGCCCCTTTCCAACTGGACCAAGCAAGGTGGATTTGGAGCCTTGGAAGCCCTCTTAACAAGAATTATGCATCCATCCGGATTGGAACCCATGTCATAAACCCCCGCCCAGTGTTTGCCGCAAGGTTAACGGATCGCACACTGCAAATTCTGTGCAATAATGAATGCAGCTGGTGAGTTTTTTGTTTCTTTTCGTTGTTTTAGTAACAGTTTTGCGGCACTTGCAACCCAAATACGTAGCATAAATACCGAAGATTAGAGTTGTTACAAGAGAGTAAAAGACACAGAAAGGAGGAGGTGAAAAAAAAACGATAGATGTTTTATAGGAAAGAAGGAGCAAACTACACCAGACCACCCGCCGACCGCCTACTCGTGTGTTTGCGTACGAGAGTGAGTGACAAGAAAACCGGAAAACTGTATGTGCAGCTATAATTTAGAGCAATCTTTGGAATCAGGGGAAATTACCCCTGTAACTTTTTGTTGAGGATTAACTAGAAAGGCTATATAAGAAGAGACTGCTAATTTCCCAATAGACAGTCCTACAGCTCACCCCATAAGGTAACATTTTCTGTTGTAAAATATAATAAGATTAACACTAAGTTTTTACTTCAAAACAAAATGGCAAGCAGCGAACATATTATAGTGTTCTGATATTGGTAGCATTGGATCTAGTGTAGATGCGGTTACCTTTCTTGTTAGAAAAAGGCTCTTCAGGCCCTATATTTGATGCCTGATTACAAAGTATATAGTTATTTGCCATAATGTGAATGTTTATTTATTCTGTGATGTATTTAAGTTTTGTCCTTCCATTATTATCGCCGTAAAAGTGCTTGTATTGATATCACTTTACTGAAAAACATTTTTTTAAAAACAAGACCTTACTATAACATTGTATTATTTTTATCACTGAGGAAAATTACGAAAGTAGAGATTGGAAGGTCACTACATATAAAAGCATTATTGTAACGATTTTCTCCCTAGGGCGGTCATGTGCTTCCTCTTACAATTATGCACGACGAACATTTTAGGAGAAACTGAATAATGCATAACACGTCTATATTATTGTTGTGAGGTTTTGGTCATTAAGGCTCATAATCATAATGAAAACGTTTAAGATACGTCATGCTTTTTCCCTGCCAAACTTCACGTTTTCCAGCAAATGGTAATAGTTTTAATCGAGGACATTCGTAATAATGATTTCTGATGTAAATTTGAAAATCCCAAAGGAGAAGACCCGTAACAGAAATTTCGAATATTTAATCATAGAATATTTTTACGTCGATTCACGAAGATTTATGCAAGTAAATGAAAATGCACGAGGAAGGCTCTCAAAGTGCGTTGAACAAGAAAAGAGGATAACCTTCACAGTAGTGCTGTTTCCAGGTTTGGAAAAGTCTATTCCCAAAGTAGGTTTAAAAATGGGAGAAAATTACTTTCCAGTAAATTATCGCGGGGTCTCAAAAGAATTGCATTAGATCAAATCTTGTTGAAAATGCACTTTTATTGATTCGTCTTAGAGTGCATGTTATTTGTGGTAAGGCTACCAGACCAGTAGTAGTGAGGTTATAGGTTCGGTGGTTCGAGCTCCAGGCCTGACGTTTTGTTCTTGGGAAAGGCACTTTACTCGAATTTTCCTTACTTCAGCCAGGTGTGAATGGGTACCCGGCCATAAACAGCTGCAGACTTTGTCAGTATGTTAGTGTTTTAGTGCCTATAAATGGCAGATTGCACTGTACACTTCCAAGAAAGTTGAGATTATTTCAGAATGCTATCAGATCTACTGGTGTAGTAGTGTGGATTGTAAATCGCATAGAGCTTGCTGTGGAGCGGAGATTTCAACTATACGAAATGCTATCTATTATCACTATTATTGTTGTTATTATTATTATTATTATTATTATTATTATTATTATTATTATTATTATTATTATTATTATTATTATTATTATTATCAAATTAATTATTTGGTCGCCGTTGATGTGCATCATGATAAAGGTTCAACCATATGTTATATCCACAGAAGCGACTATTTTGTCAGGCGAAAACCCCTCTTACAGACGTTCAATATGCAGAAGGTTGTACTGCTTCTGTGTTGTGCCCTTGTGGTAGTGAACGCCATGTCGCCAGGAGAGAGCGGGCCCGGATACTGTAGGTCTGCCTGTGACACGTTTTTCTCTCAGTGCTACATGGCTGCCCGCAGTCGCTGCTTTGGCTTTGACCAGGCAAACTGTGAAGGGGTTAGTTCAGTTTTATTCTATTATTATTCCATTTTAGTTCTGAGTATCAAATCCATCGAGTTTCAGTCTAAGTTACGGAGCGGATGACACTTGCTGAAAGCAGCAACTTGGTTTCAAGGCTCCCCACTCTCTTACTTTCGTGCGGTCGGAGAGAGACGTTCAATTCGAAGGTCGTAATACAAGTTACTACGTTTATAGCGCATATCACCATGATGGTTACCGGCATCATGAAAACGATTAAAGAAACTGTTTAAGTCGTTTCTGTACATTGTTTATATGTTATTTTCAAACTTTTACCCTCTTAAGAATTAAGAAGCTGATCAATGTGCTCTGAGTCTTACATGCTCCCAAAGCTTTTACAAAACTAAACGATCTGTTCTAATATGCAATAAGATAATTAATATAAGGAACAAAATCTACAGTATGAATATAATATTGTTCTTTGAATAGTATCTATAGAACAGGACCAAAATTTAACCTTAGACACTTCCCTGGAGGGAACATTTTCTTTTAATTTTATTTCACAAGGTTGTTCATAAGGAAACGTCTTTTTGTCCTCATCTATCCATTTTTTAGTTATTCTGTCAGTCTATCTGCTTCAGAGTGAGCTTTCTTGCTAATTAACTCTTGATATACTTGCTTTCATAGCCTTGTCTCCCCTTTTTTTTCTTCTACTCTAAAAAGTTTGATTTGTTGGTACTTTCCTCCACACAGTTCAAAGTTACTCTTCATGATTATACTCATAGTACCGTATTTTCACTCAGTGAAATATAAATATTATGTCCAGTAAAGTTTTCACTCCGTTTTCAGAAATGCAAGTCTCTGACCTCCAGATGCCACGGTTCTTGCAGAGATAACGCACAGAGGATCAGAGATCACTGCAGAAAGCATTGCAAAGGAGGGAAGTGCGAGTCGCTGAGCAAATGTCATAGCGATGTGTTCGAACCTTTTGTACCCCGTATTCCATTTTGAAAAGAAAATATCGTTAACCTTAGAAGGGAAACTGGTGCATTTTGTCTTTTGTTGCTTGTTTCCTTTTTGGATGATTCCATTCTTTCTTAATGTTCAGCTTGTACTGATGCGTTGGTACATCTTCTGTACACCTGTTGTTACTCCAGAGTAAATAAATTCTTTCACTGTTTCCCATGTGTTGTTAATGTATGTTTTCAAATGTTCAATAATATTAAGGTAACGTGTGTCTAAGAACTTCCAACATGTTTCACATACAGTTTTACTTTATGAAAACACACTTCCCATCAAGTTTTTGAATAAAAATAAACCTGTGAAATGAAATGCGAAGCCTGGACGTTTAGAGACATCCTCGAAAAGAATCGGAAAAGTCTGTTAGATTCAGGACGTATTTTTTACCCTTCTTTTAGAACTTCACAACACGTGCCGACGACTATGATGATGATGATGATGATGATGATGAGGATGATGATGATGATGATGATGATGATGATGATGATGATGATGATGATGATGATGATGATGATGATGATGATGAAGATGACGACGACAGTGATGATGATTTTATTCAACAGTAGTAGTAAATACGGACCAAGAGTAAATGTGCGCAATTCCTAACGCACCTCAGCAAACGGTGCCAGACGGACAGAGGAAAAACTCAAGTGTACACAACAAATCTCTCCCAGAGCTCAGTAAATTGACAAACATACTCGTTTGCTCAGCGTGGGCCCGTTGAGTTATTTTCCTGGGTTCCGCAATGAATTGATGATCGCACGTTCACTTTTTTCTTGTATGTCGCACACCGTTCAGTCTGGCTGTACCCTTTCAGTGTAAGCTTCAGGAAAGACTCTTTTCCTTTCTACAAATAGTCGTTTATCTAGACGGAAACCTTTCCTGGACCTCATACAGCATTGTAGGTGAGATACTCTCGACAAGTATCAATGAAGGAATTGGATTCTTTAAACACTAGTTTCCTTTTGTTATGTCACAAACACCCATATCATCTGTCGACGATTAGATCTAGTCTGGGTATGAATCAATAATAAAGCAAATAACACGCAGTACGACTCATCATCTCGTCTACAGTGTCGATTGTAAATTGATGGTCATGTAGGCTTGATAACTAGGATGGAAAGACACTAACACTTAATCTCCCGAGTCAGGACACCAAGATGGGAGGAAAAGAATTAAAGAGGAAAAAACCCATAAAATCTGGCCGCCACAAGGGCGAAATTCTTAATTCCCACCCAAACCGGAAGCCACTCTCGTCAGTATAAATATTGAGAGTACCATCATAAATGGTATGCAGTTGTCTGTCAGACAAAAGATGCTTCGGGGCTTTCGTGGCCTAGAGGTACGGTGTTCGCCTCTTTTTCAATAGGTCCCGGGTTCGAAACCTGAAAACGACAAAAAAAATTCTCCCCAAAAACGTTATCTCTTTTCACCCCCTTTACTACTCTTTTGTCATGTTCTGTCGTCTGCTTTCCTCTCCATTTT